ACATGACACTTTGCAGAAGTGTTTGAATAATTAGTGTAATTAAACATTTAATGTGATTTGAGAGAGAGAGAGAGAGAGAGAGAGAGAACAAGTAATCTTCATTTTTTGTGAGACAAATGAGATTTACATTAGTGTTAATATGAAATTAGTGCTGTTGTTGCCTATTGAGCACAAGCATGTAATTTGTAACTACCAGTGCCTATCAGTCCTATCCTGAGTACTCTTTTTTATTGAGCGATTAATGGGAGCGTTAGAGTGGAAACCAGTGGAAAAGACAGTGTCTGTGAGTTGCAAATCAATTAAACAGATACTAGTTTGCGCTCCTCTTATGCCTATGCCTTTGACTAACTGTTTGGTGCGAAGAGAAAGAGTACATCTAGTAATCACTAGATTCCTAAACTAATGTTAATGATGTACTCCCAATATTCATCCCTATCATCCCTATTCATCCTCACCCTCTCTGCCCTCGCATTCATTTATATGAAGGCATCGAACGGATCGTACGCTTGCTTTTAATTAGCAAAAGAAGTGATACTAAGTTAGCGCCTAATAAACAGCTCATCGACTGTATTGTATCGGCGCTTACATTACACTAATATCCAAACCATAAGCTCTCCAGAGTCTCGTTCGGCGTCACAGATATCGGCGCTAAACAACAACAACACAGAAAACAATATAAAAACAGACCTAACGATACACTTAATCAATTGAACCAAACTCTCACTCCCTGTACTACAGCACAGACTGTCCGCTGGCTATTAAATATTGTTTCACTATATGTTTCACATCTTTTTAGCAATTAAAACAAGTGCTTAAAAGTGCAAAAAAGACATTCATGTTTTTATCACTTCCCTCTCAACAAAGACTCTCTTTGATAGATTATTAGTGAAGGAATAGTAGAATTGCACATAAAATAAGCCCATATTATGAGAGAAACATCATTGAGAAAGAGAACCCAATTTTACTAAAACAGTAATTATTTCCCCATAAATACAAAATTCATAAATTCCTCTCTCATTAAGTCTATGGAATCATTACATTCTCTCATCTCTCAAATCACATTAAATGTTTAATTACACTAATTATTCAAACACTTCTGCAAAGTGTCATGTATTTCCACATAAAAGTCAAACATAAAAACATATCCAAACGTTAATTAATGCATAAATCACTGTTTGCTTTAATAGCATAACAATTAACATTTGGGGAACAGTTATTATGTAAATCAATTACTATAACAGTTTATGTATGAAATATATTAATTATAAAAATATTGATAAAACTTTGATTAATAGATAGTAAACATTGCCTCCAAACCGAAGATAACATCTCTTAAAAGTATGAAAAGCGAGTGAAACAAAATCCATAGAAACAAGTGGAGAAAATTTAAGCATTACTTAAATGCTCAACACATGTGTGGAAGAAATAATAGGAATTTAGAGAAGAAAAATCATATGAAGTATATTTCATAGAAGTTTAGGTAATCTTTTGTATTTTTGGGGCAAACTTTAGGCAAAAGGAAAGCTGTTTTTCTACAAATAAAAAAAGATATATTGACTCGAGTCGTATGGTTTGACACGAGAGTCGGGTCGCCGTTAGACTATAAATCACATTTTCATAGCCCAACACTTCTAAGGCCCACAACAACTCTAGACTATACAGTAAACTACTGTTCAGTTTTAAATCATATAATATTGTACTTTAAAACACAAAATCATGGCTTAAATAGTGATACAAAACAAAAACATAAGAAAAAGTTTTTCATTTTATTATATTGTATATAAAGTTTCACGATTTTGACGGATAAAAAATACACACAAAAAGAGAGCATAAAAAATGTTTGGTACAGAAAAAATAACAGTAAACGGCTAAACATATAAAAGTTAAACTCAATGTTTAACAATCGATCATTCAATCAATTATTGAGACTTCAATTGTTTGATACCATTTTCAATCATTTTTTCACTTAACAGCCAAAGAGAAGCCGACAAATCGCTGTTTTGGGCCGTTTTTGATGGCAAACATTGATAGCAGTTATTAAAATAAAGGCCACCGATGTCGTCCAACTCGTGAGCCGTGGCGCAAAACACGGGTGTTGCACATCCCTGTCCCTGTCAGTCACATCAATGTTAATACAATATCAATAGGTTTTTTTCGGTACAAATATTCACAAAAATATAGTATCTATACCTATAGGCTAAAGGAATAGCAATACATATTGAACTCAACTCATCCATACATTAATTCAAAATTGAAAATATTTTCATATCATTTATGTCTCAAATCTATTGCCATGTCTTACAAGTGCTGTACATGTTATCAAATATTCTGTTGTTTATATTGAATTTAGTTTTTTAATATTATTATATAGTCGTCTTAAAGAGATTGAAAATAATATTCACATCATATGGACTAGCATTGAGACGATATTGTAAATTCAGATTAATATGTAATTTAATACTTAATCGTTAATCAAAACCATTATAAAAGTCTGAATATGATTAAAACTAAAGGCAATTCTAAGGGAACGATAAAAACACTAAAACACATATTTATATACATAATAATAATAAATATTATTCTAAACATTACATTTCCAGACCATTGAAGTATTAGTTTCGCTAATTTTAAAGTTTGTAAACAAATTTCTAATCAATATTGTCTTTATTATAACATATAAATAATGATAAGTTATTAAAATTTATAAAAATTATATTTTATGGCAACGACTCGAGACTTATGAGAAGCGATATATAAATATTTCAATAATATAAACACATTCTTAACTGCTTTTCAACTAAAAATAATTGCAATAAAAAAATCTCTGCTCTTTAGAGAATCAAAGCATTTTCGACAAACAGTTAATAATGAATATATATTTCAAAAATTATAGTCAAATTGAAACAAAAAATTAGAAATTTTAACGATTCCTAACATATATTCTGTTTTGTTTAAAAAGATTTATTTAAACGAAAATATATTTCATTTGTAGACAACAAACAACTAATTATAAAAAGACTGAGAATTACTTTATATCCAAAGACACTAATGACTAACGACTTTAAGCGCTAAAACAAAAAACAAGATCACATTTATTGGTCTGAGAAGTTGAGCACATAATCTATTATTAGATATAAATTTTTATATAAATTGTATTAACATTTGGTTTTTTGAGACACAAATATATAAAGTATATATTATTTGTGCAATATTTTAAAAGTGATCGTAAAGTTTTAAATGCATAATAACTGTGTAATTAAAATAATCTCTATTTTATTCGCCGTTTCAAACGAAACGCCGGCTTTTAATTAGCTTTTGAAACATAAATTAAATTATTTATTAAAAATATTTGTCATATTCTTTGTCAAAATATTGATACATTCTTTCAAAATGGTTATATCGAGAGAATATTCGCTAAATATTTTAAAATAACAATAAAAAAAGTTGAATTTTGGCCTCAATATCAATATATAAAGAGTCGTTTTGTTTTTGACAATTTGAACACTCGTTCAAAAGAATGCTTAAAATAATAAGTAAAATATCAAATAATAGTAACCAATACTTACTAAAGATTTGGTAAAAGGTCTGACCACTGCGAAGAGGGTCCTCATGAGCCACCAGTTGCGAGATATACCGGTGCTAATCATGTTTCCCGGATGACAGGCATTACTCACCACACCATGGCTTGAAAGTCGCCGATTCAACTCATTTGAAAACAAAACATTACATAACTTCGAGTCGTTGTAAGCCATCATTGAGACAAAATTGCGTGCAGTGGACGGCGAGACCCACTCCTGACTAAATGTCTCGATACTCATTGTACTAAACCTATGGCTCTCTGACGAGAGGACTACAACCCGTGCCGGACGGGAATCGATGAGCTTTTGTTGCAATAATTTAGTTAAATAAAAGTGAGACAAATGGTTGACTTGAAATGTGGTCTCATAGCCATCGATTGTTAACCGATGCGGTGATAACATTGAACCAGCGTTTAGTATAAGCATATGTAAGGGTCTAAAAGACAACGACAGATAATAATCACAACTTTTAAAAACAAATTATCTTACAATTGAAGTGAAAGAAATTGATCGACAAATTGCTGAACACTTTCAAGACTTTCCAAATCACAGATCAAGGCTTCGAGTTTTGCTTTTGGCTAAACAATACACCAAAGATTTAATTAATTTAATATTTAAATGTAATCTTATATACTGTGTACCAGAGATTCGTGGATGTAATCGATGGCATCGTTGGCTCTATCGCTATGACGACAGGCCATTATAATGTGCGCCCCTTTAGAGGCCAAACATTTGGCAGTTTCCAAACCAATGCCAGAGTTGGCGCCCGTAATGATAGCCACTTTGCCGGTGAGATCGCGTCCGTGCAATACTTCATCCCCAGTAGTCGACGCGTCAAACCTCTGAGTCATATCCGTTCCGACGTCTTTGTCCTCGAAGGCAAACGCGAGTCTCGGATCAGTATATGTCGTCTTTTTGGTCGTATGGCTTTGGATCAGACATAAGGCCTAAGAATATATCTCAAGAATCACATCTTGTTTTCTCACTCAACGTATATAACAGTTCTGTCTTCGAGTATCTGTCGCTCCCATCCTTTAAATGACATTTCAATTATAAATTACAGACAATGACTGAAAAGACAATCAATGGTGTACCGAAAGGCAGTTCTCCGGCCACTCGTTTCCGTTTGCCGGTCAACGGATGTGTCCATTGCGTCGACTTCTGCTGATGACTATCACAACAAAACCGATTCATTAGTGATATAAACGTAAGACAAACACAAGAAGTGATCAATACTTTACGTAATATACTTTGTCTTCAAATGTCAGCCTTTGTTCCCAACTATTGGACAACAATTAGATAATTGGATGAGAAATGAAAGACAATGTAATGATAATGAATACCCATTCGGTAACTCGTCTTCGCTGTCCGTCTCTGGCAATAGACTCGCCATTAGTTACCATTCAAACCACGGTTTGGATCAACTCTTAAGCACTTAATTTTCAATTCAATTCTTGTGTTTTGTTTTGAATTACAATTAAATCACAAAATATTAGCAAAAATACATTATTTATGGCAAACAATGCTTTGGTTTCCATAGAAATCAATGCAAACATTACTTCACTTTCAAAACAAACAAAACATTTAAACATTTCATTTAATTGTCACTCAATTTGACACATATTTTGCACATCTGTTTGGCGTTTGAGATGATTGCCAACCCATGGATCAGTTGCTTACTCATCCCATACAACGACACTCTTTAGCAGATGTGGCCGTAAAGGAGAAGAAGCGAGTGATGAAGACATTGGATTTGCAATGGGTTTGAATAGCGATATGTGAAGACACACGCGGATCAACTGAAACGTGACTCTCAAGACATGGACATCAGTTGATAATGAAAGTACAACTCGGGTAATGATATCCGGCGGGAATGAAGACCAATACGAGTGTCACATCACCGACGAAGAGGACACGCGAGCCGTATCGACTGGTCCGTTGTCGAAGACGATGACCGCCAGGTTTACCGCCGAGGAAGCGGTCAAATGAATGATTTAAAAGAAACAAAATGTGATTCAAAGACAACGTTTGATGTATTTATCGATTAAGTAATAATACTATGAAATAAAATGTAAATAAATAATGCATTGAAAGTCAATTGGTTTCCATAGAAATCATTTACCATTGATTTCAAAACAAAACTTTTATTATTTTAT